TTTTGTTTCTTTTCCTCAGATGGCTGTGGACCCTGGTGAGGCTGGGAGGATGGTGGTGCGAGAGCTGACTCACAACTTCCTCCTGGATCTCTGCTGTTCCCTTAATCATGGCATTAATTTCTATGACCAAAGCCTAGGAACAGCTGGGAGGTAACTACTGTGTTAAGATTGTTTTTCTTCTATGGTGGAGTTGTACTTTTAATTTTTGCAATTTGCACATTATGTGTGTGGAAACAAAACCCTTATTTGCCATGAAAATGGGAAAGTGGTGAAGTGTGAAGTTTCTCATATATCCCTTTGTATGTGAATTGCCCATGCAAAGCAAACCCAATGTTTTCACTGGAATGTGTGCAGCAGCCATGAGGTATTTAAGAAAACACATCAAGATTCCGTAAATCCCTTACAAGAAAATCTCTGTCCTGCAAAGTATATAGTATTATTAAGTGCTGGTTATGCTTCAGGCTTGGAAGTGCCAGCAGGCTTTTACAAGCTGCCAAAGACAGAACTGAAACTCCATCACTGCACTTATGATTTCACAATGCCAATCAGAACTGTGTAAGGGAGCTGGCAGAAAACAGATCTGTGTCTTTAATCACCTTCAGCCAGCATTCAAAATCCACAAAGGTAAAGTCAAATCAGTGGATTTATTCAGAATCAACAGTGACACACGAACCACAAGAAACAAGTGGAAAGTACATAAAACTGCACTGAAAAGCATGAGCATGAGGTACTTCTTTACTCAAAAGGTGGTAGGAGTGTGGAACACATTACCCATCCATGTTGATACCTTCTTTCAAGAAATGCTGGATATAATCGTTAGATTAATTAGCCACTAACTACCAAACAGGGTAGGTGTTCTTAGCTTTTAGACTTGGATAATTGAAATATACTTTATAAACTATAAAAGTGTTTCATCTGTCGTTAGTTTAATTAAGTAGTTATACCTCTGTAGTTATACCTGTCTTTTTCATGGCAGAATAAAATACAGGGGTGTGACAAAGGAGGAAGAAAAGGGAGAAGATGATCTTGAAAAGCCTCTTTTGATTAGTCTTGATTGATTAGTCAGTATTGTCAGTTTGAGAGCAGGGACATTTTCTGGGCACTTTCGTTATTTCTTCTTTCCTTTCAGGTCCGGGAATGTTGTCCTGCTGCAGTTCATTGTGGGACTGAAGCAGGCCACGGAAGATGAACTCGTGGCTGAGCTGGTGGTCAGTATTCTGAAAGTCTGTCCTGATTTGCTGCAGAGGTACTTCAAAGAGACTCAATATTCCTTTGTACCGAGACAGAAGACAGCGTGGAAGGACAACATCAACCTCCTCAAGAAGGTACACAGAGCTATGAAGGGGTTTGAGATAGCGTGTCAGTCTTTTAAACATTATATTCTCTTTATTGTCTCAGGGTCCATGAGCTGTGTGGAAAACAATGGGTAATCTAAGATGAATCATACATCTCTATGAATGTAAAAGAAGTATGCATGAATCCATCTAACAGGGAACTAAAAATGAATAATAAAATGTGATATTGTAAAAGTGAATATAATTATTTTTACTGAGATGTAAATTTTCTTTCCATTTTGTTGTTGAAATTTCAGGCCATGATTTGATGTGTGTAAATGAATAATAATGGTAACTTTTATTAATAAATTACTTTTCCAAATCAGTACATAGTAATAAGATATACAAAAAATAAAATAAAAAAATATCAAAAGTACATAAAATGAAATAAGAACGTACTGCAGAAACTGTAAAATAATCGGATATAAGTCCTAGTAAAAGCATTAATTAATTAAGTTTAGGTTTGAAAATAATCAAATAATTTTGATTCTTTGTCTGTCATAGAGTCTGTGGAAGGGCATTTCATACCAATGGAGCAGCAACAGAAAAAGCTCTAATCTTTAATAAAGATTTAATCCTAGGTCCTGCGAGCAAATGAACAACCTTAAAAACTGAGCAGAGCCAACAGAAGGGGGTGTGAACACAAAGGAGTCAAACATATATGAGGGAGCCAGATTATTCATAGCCTTAAAAATCAATAATAAGATCTTATATTAATAGTGATAATAATATAATAATAAAGTTTATTATAAGATGGCGCCTTTAAATGTGTCTTCTCAAAGTGCTTTACAGAGAGACAATAAAAAAATACATAAGAGTAGATGGGGGTATTGAATATAGTAGGAGCAGAGGGATAAAGAACAGAACCAGTTAAGTAAAGGTACTTCTAAAGAAGAAGGTTTTGAGTCTAGATTTGAAGGAGTTTAGAGAAGGTGATTCTCTGATATCCTTGGGGATAGAGTTCCAAAGCTTTCGGGCATAACAGGAGAAGGCCTTGTCACTCATAGTGTGTAGACGGGACAGATAGGAGACCAGAATTAGAAGAGCGAAGATGGCAAGGTGAGGAGTAGGATGATAGTAGCTCAGACAGGTCCTGAGGTGTCAACCCATGCAGAGTCTTGTAGGTCAGCATGAGGATTTTTAAGTTGACACTAAACTTGACAGGAAGCCAGTGCAAAGACTCCAGGATAGGAGTAATGTGATCACTTGCCCTAGACCTGGTCAGGTTTGTGGCTGCAGAACTTTGGACATACTGGAGTTTGTTCAATGTGGATTTAGAAACCCCAGTGACTGGACCGTTACAGCAGACAAATTTGGTGATCAGCTTTTCAGCCTCAGTTAGTGATAACATAGGAGTAGTCTAGCGATATTTCTGAGGTCAAAGAAAGATGTTTTGACAATATGTTGCACATGTGGGTCGAATGTCAAGGCTAAATCAAATATTCACCCCT